TAATATAAGAAGGTTTCAACTTGCTACAAGATTCCCGTACTTAGAACGGGCACACAGCTATTATATAAATACGCAGAACACTTACTAAATACCCCCGCCGCAGCAAACCTGCAGACTAAGCGAAGTGTCAGATTTATTTCCTATTTAAATATCATTAATATTAATGAGTACTTTAGGTTTGCTGCTACAGGGAAGAAAATAGAAGGTTTTATTGAAATATTAATAGCTTAATATGAAGTTAACAAAATTTCATTAAAATATGTCCATAGACAAGCAAGCTATAACACTGTATTTATTCTCCATAAGAATAACATGGTAATTTTAAATTTACACTATTTTGCGATTTTTCCGTAACCGTTAGGCATGCAATAATGCTTCAATATACTAAATTATTTGTTTTTTTGAGCTCTACAAAATGGTTTAGAAATAAATTGCAAAATTTTATGTTTTCAGGGTGAAAAATTAGAAAAACCCATTTTTACCCCATAAAACCCCCCATAAACCCCTGTTCCCATAGTCCGATCATGCTGGTTCGCAAACTCGTTCGAATAAATGTAGGTTTACACGTTTATACCAAATTTCATCAAAATCGGATCATTTTGGCTCGAGTTATCGCGCTAACGGACACATATATAAATATATATATATATATATGAATTTGAACGGATGGTGTTTTTGGTCTCTGGGAACCTCAAAACAAAGAACTAAATCGGTCCCGGGTCCAGGTCTTACCATGAGACCTACGGTAATAGCTTATTCCCTATATGGGAAATTCGCTAAAACTAATCATAAATATCAAAACATAGAAAATAATTTACCAGTAATTGAATTTGAACCAAACGAAGACAAATTGTTCATTAAAGAAGAATTTTACATATATAGAAGCAATAAAAAAGATCCTGAAAACATACTCAATACCATAGCTGGGAAAGTTAGTCAAAATTTCTAACTAGTTAGAAGTTAGTCCCATAAAAAGTAACTGATAGAAGTTACTAGTTAGTTAGTTTAAAAAATAACTGATAGAAGTTTTTAGTTAATTGAAAAACTAACTGATAGAAAATAAAGTTAGTTTTCAACATTTGTAGAAGATAGCTGTTTGTTGGACAGTTGTGTTAAAGGATTTCGAATATGTAATGAAATAATGACACATCTTGGTTGCTAATTGTGTTTTAATTAAGTATTAATTAAACATCGTCACATTTACATTACATTTTACATTCATTACTACAACAAAATTTACTTGAAATGCCTATTAAACTTTAAAAGAAGTTATTATTCAAAATTGGTGTCACCGATTCTTCCTCGTCTGTTAGTGAAGACTAGGCTTGCCGCACTGATCAGGCGTTTGCAGTGAACAAAGGTGTTTTTTAATTTGTAGATTTATATTTGTAGTTATTTTATTATAATGTATTTGTTTCATGACTAGTGAATATTTTGTTAGTAAATTTATGTAAATTTCTAACTAAATAATGATTTACACATTAGTTTGCCATGAGTGAATACTTAAGCAATGTCAGTGTGGTAGCCAGGAACACATGGGCAACGTCGCAGATTCGCACGTGCTCCTGCCTGGCTGGGAAATATCGTTCACCAGGCGGCCCGCTGCCAGTCACGGGAGAAATTTCTGTCTACAAATATAAATCTGTTTAAAAACCACCTTTGTTTGCATTATAAATCTTGTCATATTGGTGTTATTTCTTGTGTCATGGGAAACACCATGGTATTTTGAACGAAATTGTCAGTGCCTTATTAACAATGTTAGCATACGTTTTAAAAATTAACAGCAGCATAAAAACTATTGTGAATAAAATTTTGTAAATGCATGGAAATGTTAACAATGAACCTACCAATAAGCCATAAAAATTTCAGAAAGATTGGCTCAGTGGTTTCTTTACAAATAAATTTTAAACTTCAGTGTTAGTGCAGTTTCTTAAAAACCGGTACTTTTTAGGATCTTTCAACTATATACATTTTTCTGGTAAACGGAAAATTGTTTAATTGACACCACGAAAAATGTATTTAAACCAGCTTATATTTAAATTTTGTTTCAACAAAATCGGATAATTCATCTCAGAGATATTTAGGCTCAAACTTGAGTGCACATTTATTTCCCCGACAAAGGTGATACAAAAACTTGTCATCACTCTGTTTTCAATAGTTCAAAAGACAAAAACAAATAGTGATCATCTCACCTTTCCTGACATAAACATTACTTTCGATACACAAACATAAGTTACAACTGAAGTTCCCGGTTAGGTCAAAACACAGTTTGTTGATGTTCAATTAGCTGAATGTTACACTAAATTAAATTGTACAGCCGTATTGTGTTTAACGTAGAAACACTTAATGGATTACGAAATATCAGATGATTTTTTAAAGTCTGATGAAGTAGTTTTCCCAGTGTGATAAAAGTATAGTTTACTAATAAATTTAAAAGTGACCTATTTGTGGCGAGATAAAGTTTAAAGAGCATGGGAAACTCATTGAGAAATACACTATAACTGTACTAAAAAATAAAAATTATATTCATTAAAAAAATATATATTCCACTTCAAGTTAAAAACGAGACTATCATACTTGTTCTCCACTTACCTTAACATACGCTCTCAAATTCGAAGCACTTGTGACTGATGCTTTAATTATTTTTGTTTTGGGTAAACACAATAAACATTTTAACGCAATTAAATAATTATTTAATTTTTTTTAATTTTAATTTTTTTTAACTTGTTGAAATATGTCACTTAAGTTTGGTCACTTGATATCACACTCGCCCACCATTGCAAACAAATATTATTAATCTACTGTACTAAACCCGTTAACCTTAATAACTTGTGTATTAAAAATATTTAACTATCAATAAAATATATATATAATGACAAGACAACTAAGAAACTAACAAAAAATTAACACCTGTCACGGTCAGATAATGAACATCGTCTGAAGTGAAGACATTGTTTTGACACTTGAGATTACAGTACATATCAATCGCCAAACAAACATTCCCCCTCCCCACCCTTCGGTGCTTTGGGTGTTGTTATTGGCTGCCATTGGCTCGCCCCCCGGGTCCGCTACATACCAAAGCGACTGGACTTTGACTTTCTCTTTCCCCACCCCCTGCGTTGTTTGTCAACAAGGGCGCTGACCCCTCATGTTCGCACGCAACCCTCACTGAACACGGCAAATAAATAAACCGTATTGGAAATACTTTCGTCTGACCAAAAAAACTAACAATTTAAAACTAGCGAATATATTATCTATTCGTTGGCTATAAAACTAACTGAGTAGAAGTTATTTCCAGCTTTTTTTAAAAACTAACGAATAAAATTGAAGTTAGCCGAAAAAACGAATGAATAGTGATATTCATTAGAATTTCTATTCGTTATTCCCAAGTATGCTCAATACAATGCAAATAAAAAAAAACCTAATATACGAAAAAATCTTATATAATAAATCAAAAGAAAACAACACCTGAGCCAACCTATGTACAAGACAAAATTCCAAAATCATATGATAGTTTACTTATTTATTACTAGCAGAGTACCCGTCCTTCGTACGGGGTTGGCATATAAGTATAAAACGCTTATTGCAGTTATACTCGAGCTTTGCATTTGCATTTTCAATGGGGGAGGACACAGTTTGATAAAATTTACTTATTTAAATTTACGGTATACCATAGTATTACACATCTACCATAGTCATAATGTTCTACCACTTCACCTAAACAATAGAGAAAAATAAATTATTAAAAGTTTGCAAAATATCACAAATTATTCATGAAATTAAAAACATAAACATAACTACTTTGACAGTTCTCATTGCGTATCACAGTTTTTGTTGCTGCTTGAGCTGTAGCTTTTCATATCATAGAACCAACTTTTTAGTTGAAACAGCTGAAAAATTCTTTAATTCCCTTTTAATATGAATACTGTACTCATAAGGTTAACATGGGAAACTGCAGAGCCACTGGGGCGGAGCCCGAAAGGATTTTTCAGGAAAAAATATGCCTATATGTTAATCGGGAATGTGAGCTATCATCATGCAAAATTTTAGACCAATCCGTCCAGTCGTTAATGCGTGATTGAACTTCAAACAAACAAACAAACAAACAAACAAACAAACAAACACACAAACTTTCACATTTATAATATTAGTAAGATTTACATTTCTATTTATTTACTATTTGTTCATAACTGTGATCATGACCTAAGAGCTGAAACATGTTAGTTATTCAATAAATTAATAACTTTAAGGGTACTAAATGTTTAATTATTTATTTCATTTACTAATATATGTATAATTACATAATGCACTATTAATACAGACATATCAATTATGTTTCTACTGGGTTAAAACATATCATTGACTATTGGATACTGAAGTCAATGATAGTCAAAGAACATATGCAGTTTGTTTTAATACTTTAAATTGGCCGATTTATATGAGACAAACATGAAAAACTTTGTTTTGTGATAACTTAGAATATATTATTTCCAGATACAACAAATGTTTTATATTTTAAATTATTTATGATAATTAAACTTTTAAGTGGTGAATTCAGTGAGGCTTGGTCAATAGGATTTACTCGAAGGTCGGCCGAGCCATTGTCCGGTTCTACCCTCTGGTCAGGTAGTCCGCCTCAACTTGGGTTGAGACAGGATATAGCTGAATTGTATCAATGCTTTATGCAATTTTTTAAAACTATACTACCCAAGTAAAAAGCCTGCATGTGATCATGTATGTACATTGTACATGCCTACAAATTGACTGTGCCGTGGAAAGACAATCTCTCTCTATCTCTCTCCCTCTTCATTACAGTACTACACATTTTACTCTTGTAGTAAAACTTTGTCTGAAATTAAAGCACACAAAGTTAAATTTTTAATCATCAAAAGTATTTTAACTGAATTTATAATACAAGCACATATAATTTGAAGTTAAATTTATATTTATGTTTTGTATTTTTAATGTTTTATTTGATGTAATAACCAATATTTTTTCAGTTGGTGAAACTCCTAATGGAAAGTCATTTTCTGAGATGAACGCTCGATCAAAGGTATTTTATACTGTAGTAATTTGCATGAACTATAGAAAATATATTTTACACCACACTACACTGTTTTAATGAACTTCCCACGCAAGGATTTAGTCCAATAAACTGCTGTTTGTCGCCAGCTTAATCAAATGGGGCTTCATTATGTACTACTGTACTGTTATGAGTTTTTACCAGACACCAACCAGCTGATTGTGTTTGGCAATGAGTGATTATAAACAAAAACATAACCTCTCTTAGAGGTTATGAGTAGTGTTTGTTAGTTCTTTAGTCAGTGGGAATATAAGGATTTGTACAGATTTTTTTGTTAAGTTAGCTTAGATTAGTATGGCGTAAAATATTGTACGTCACTCGTCCAAAATGTGTTTACCGGACTCGCATGGTAATCCCGCACTCGACTTCGTCTCGCACAAAGACCACACTCGTCCGGTAATCACCTATTTTCAGGACCAGTAACTTAATATACTATTGTCTTGTATACCCTATGTTTGTCCCAATTGGTTTACAGAATACAATTTATATTATAGCCTTTGTAGTTAGTAGGGCTAGTATTTGACAACTATTTAACCATTTACTTTAAGCCATGTGGTCCTGGGGAGTAATTTACAACGCCCAAATCAAAATAGATGTAGCTTTATAATCAGACCTTAAATAAATAATAGTTCCTCAGCATAATAACAATTCTTCTAAATTATAGTAGTGTAACTTATTTGTATGGATGGATCTTACTTTGAATGCTCACAAAATGTTTTAAACTAATCACTCTTTTAGACCCTATACTGTACCCACAATAGAAAATATACAATTTTTAAAAAGTTGGTAACTCAACTTGTCCGTGCTGGCCCTTTATTAAGGTAGTTTCAATAATCCGAATAATTTGATAATACGAATGGGGTCTGGTCCCGATTCCGGATTATTGACGTTCTAGGGGAATTTTAAAAATACAGCCAATCAATATGCTTTACATGTATCTTAACTTTTGTTTCAGTTGTCTGTGAATGCAAATGAAGACAACTACAAAATACAACCTAAATTGAGTACTCAGAATATTCAGTCATCAGAAGAAAAATCCAGTGCAGGAAACTCAAATCACTCACGATTGATAGAAAAAACATTAAAAGAAGACAAAAGTAAACTTCATCTTACCAGGTTAAAAGAAATAGAAGATAGTGAAGCAAAAAGTATTATTGGAAAGAATATTTTTTCTAACGAATTAAGTTTGCGAGGATATAAAAAATCGCCATCTGCTCAAGAAAGCAAAAGTTTAAACAGCGGCAATGACAGTAGAGACTTTTCTTCTTTACTCACTAAACCTCCAAAAGCAAAAGACTCAGGGTTAGAAGAAGTAAAACAAAGTAAGTTACCTACATGTACAGATAACCTAAAAACACCCAAACCCAGAGAAATCGAAGGAAACCTTGAACAAAACAGAACAGCAAAGAAAAAACTTTTGTACTCCTTTGATGTAAGTAACGAAAAGGACGTTGTAATGTCTTCTCAAGAACAAGAGCTTTCTATTAAAATGCCTTCCTACAAAATTAAAAAAAAAGAAGATTCTACCAAAGAAAAACTTATTGTAAATAGAAAAAACATAAGCTATTCTTACATTGCAAACAAAGGAGTGAACAAATCAGATACATGCAGAACAGATAAAGCGCAGAAAGAATTTAATTTTGAAGATGACAAGGTCATTCAGGTTTATGATGATAACGATTCAAAAAATTCAAGCGAATCATCTTCTCACACACTATTTAAAGATCCTAGAGAGGAACCTGAACCACTCTTAAAATTGTTTACAAGTGCAACAAAAAAAGACATATCACCATCAAAGAGTTTTCATCCTAAATCTTTATATTGTGGTTATGTCTCTCCTGAAAAAACGGACATTACAAATTGTGAAAAAACATACAAACGATCAAAACCAAAAAGGCCATGGAGGAGGCTAAAGGCTGTGCCAATTGCATCAGAATCATCTGATTCTGATTCTCAATATGTACCACCAACCAAACTGGTGAAAGAGGGTGATAAGAAAATTGTAAGAAAATCGCCGATTAGAACTAGATTTGCTCATAATTTTGCAAATGATAAAATTGATCCAACACGAGACATCAATTATTCAAATGAGATAAAAATGGAAATCGATAATGACTTTGAAGAACCCAAAATAAAACCTAGAGAGATCGTTGCAGACACTCTTACTATTCAAGGAAAGGTAACTAGCAAAACTTCAGTTAAAGTAGGAAAAGGTAAAAAGAAAAGCAACGCAAAAAGTAAAGTAACCAAACCAGCTATTGGTAAAAACAAGAATTCAAAGATAAAAAATACTACCGAAGGTATCCTGGAGAATATTTTTCAAAAGCGCACAGATTGCATGGATGTTATGAACTGTAAGTACCATTTGGTTCTCTTTTAGTGAATTTTCCATATAGGGAATAAGCTATTGCCATAGGTCTCATGGTAAGATCTGGTCTTAGTAGTCGGGTTGGGTAGCAGGAAAATATTTCAGTTCTGGCGGGGAGGCTGCAATTTTAGGTGGTTGTAGTATACTAATAACATAGGAGTTTTAAATTTACAATGTTTTGAATTTTCTCCGTAAACAATAACCTTTTAAGAACACTTCAATTCACTAAACTATTTGTTTTATTAAGATCTTCAAAATAGTTTAAAGAAAAATTAGGGAATTTCATGTTTTGAGGGTCAAACATAAGAAAGCCCAAATAACCCCAAAAACCCCGTTGCGATGGTCCGACCACGCTGGTTTGCGAACTTGTTCGAAGAAACGTAGAAGAAACACGTTTTACCAAATTTCATTAAGATCGGATAATTTTTGCTAACGTACACACACACACATATACAGTGTGTTCAAAAAAGGTAGGGTCAACATTTACGAATTGATTCATTGGATCAAAATGAGAATAAAATAAGGAATAACATTTTTTTACAAAATCACTTCTTTAACAGATATTCACCATTTTATATGTTTTTCATTAACATTTTATCCTTTATAACTTATATTGGAAATATTGGCAATTAATAATGACATGTATAATTAAATTTACAAGTACAACATGGCCAATGTAAATAAAATAAAATAAAATTATTATATATTAGCCTCGTTGAACTTCTAAATTTAATTATACATTTCATCATTTTATCCTTTGTTAATTTTGAATGAACTTTTATGAAAGTTGGCATGTGTAAAGGTAGAAGATACTAATCTATTTTTTTATGCGAACCAGCATGATCGGACTATGGGAACGGGGGCTTATGGGAGGTTTTAGGGGGTGAAAATTGGTTTTTCCCATTTTGGACCCAAAAACATAAGATTTAGCAATTTCTTTCTAAACCATATTGTGGAGCTTTAAAAACCAAATAATTTAGTATATTGAAGTGTTGTTATGTGCCTAACGGTTACCGAGAAAATTAAAAAAAAATTTAATTTCCCATGTTATTCTTATCGAGAATAAGTAAACTGTTGTATTTTGCTTGTTTATGAACATATTTTGATCAAATTTGGAAAATTTATTCATTTCATACTAAACTATTACATTTCATAAAAAAACATGTTTTTACCCTCCCTGTTGCAGCAAACCTAAGTACTCGTTAAACAAATGCTATTTTAATGGGGAATAAATGTGATTTTTTAAGGAGATATTTTAGAGTAAATCCAATCAGGCAAATGGAAATTTGCTTAGTCTACAGGTTTGCTGCGGCGGGGTATTATAAGGTAATTGGTTACGGAGAGAATTCAAAACATTGTAAATTTAAAATTCCCATGTTATTTACGGATAGTACATAAACTGTTGTAGTTTGCTTGTTTATGATTATATTTTAATGAAACTTCGCAAATTTATTTATTTTAAACTAAGCTATTAATATATTAATAAAAACTCACTTTATTAATCTCCCTGTAGCAGCAAACCTAGGTAATCATGAAACCTAATGTTATTAAAATAGATTTAATTGAAAATCAAATCAGGGAAATGGAAACTCACTTAATCTGCAGGTTTGCTGTGGTGGGGGTATTTTGCCTATTCCATGAAATGCAGAGACTATAACCACCTAAAATTGCATCCTCCTCGCCAGAACTGAAATATTCCGCCACTCTATGCAACTATACAACCTCACTATAGTTGTATTTTAAATAGGTAATGGCCGATAACAGAATTTCTCGATTCAATACCAGTTCTGAAATATTACTCACGATTTTCAATACCAATTCCATACAAAATATCATATTTAAGAAAGTTGCCATGGTCAATATTTTGTTGTTGGTTTAATTCTGAATCAGATAACCAGTACAGTTCAAGCCAGCCCAAAATTATTGTGGGCTCTCAGTTAAATATCGTATCCAAGTCTGATAAGTAAACGGAATCAGGGAACCGCTCTTGATTTTTTCGAAACGAAATAGTTGTAGACTGAAAACATTAAAATTGAGGTAGCACTGGCACGGCAACTCTGATAGAATAGAAAAATCGAGATGCTGTAAAATGTTGTTATGTTGGTACTACTAAAAGAATCAACCAGCTCATTGGCTATTTGCTTACTTGCAATCCCATAATCTCCTAGTTCCAAAATACTATTCCTCTAGTACAAGAAAACAAATGGCGGCAAACGTCTTGCAATTCTTGGCATTCTCGCATTCAGTGCTACCTCAAATCAAATCAAATCAAAACATCTTTATTTTCCTTACATGTACATGGGTACAAAAATAGTGTAAAGTATAAAGTACTAAACTAGCCTAGATATAAATACATTTTAAGTATGAATATGTATTCAATGAGTTCCTCCATTGTATAAGGCACCTTTCCTATTAAATGTTTTTTTTTTTATTTAGCTTTAAATAATTTATAATTTGATTCCTCTTTTATAGAGGCAGGCAATTTCTTTAGAATCTAGAACTCTTGAAAATCACATCATATACTCAAATCTATTTACAGGGAATTACAAAATTGATTATTTAACAAAAACAAAAAATAATTCTTTTAGAAGCTAATTTTTAGACTTGGAACCTCTTATTTGCAACATCACACTTCATTTACTTTGTACATACACCAAAAAGATTTTGTAACACTGATGATCAGCCATCCTGTAGAGTTATTTTTGGTTAAATTGTTCATAGTTTAGGATGGGCGCAAGAGATGTTCATGGTTTTGCCGCGATCCTGGACGACGATGAAGACGTTTCCGCGATCGCGGGAGTTCATGATGTTGTCTACACGGCCGCGGGAGTTGTTCATGTTTTTGCCGCGATCGTGGGAGACAATGATGACGTCCACACGATGAGTCAGTAATGATGTTTACTACAGGGCAGCGGAAGATGATTTCGCCGCGATCGCGGATGACGACGATGACGGTACCGCAATCCCGGGAAACGACAATGACATCTACATGGCCGCAGGAGATGCTAATAACTTTGCCGCGATCGTGGACAACGATGAAGAGGTTTCCATGACCGCGAGAGTTCATGATGTTGTCTATACTAAAAACTTCTTCAATTATAATCTTTAAAATAATATAGAAAAACCTACTGCTGCTTTGATTTTTCATTTTAAAAACTAAGAGTTTCTCTTGAAAAACGCAGAACGGCTAAAGCTGCATTTTCTTTCAAATAACATGTAATAAGGGTTACTTGATGAGTACATTCAGTTTAATGTAAACACTAGTGGAACCCCGTCGAAATCGACGGTTAATCTTGAGGTTTTATGTAAATTCAGCTAACTGTGTTGGATAGATTGAAGTCATTAAAATCTTAGTTATATGAAGGGAGGATAAGCAATAATAAGTATGACGATTGTGTTCCCTAAAAAACGTGATTGATGAATTTGTTTAACACAATATTTCCTACCTTTCTTTTTATCGGCTTTAGGTTGCCCAAAAGGTTTTTTAGGAGTCTTATAATTGTTTCTTCATGAGTTTGTTTCATACCAAAGCCACTTTCACTATATGGGAGAATGAGTTCATATAATTAGTCTATCATGTTACGGAAAGAGTTAATATTTATTACTAACCACTAATTCCATCTGCTTTAGGAAAATCATTCAGATTGTATCCGGATTTATAAGTAAATCTTCATCTTTTTTTTATAAAAATATCTGATTCTCCAGAAAGCAGTAACATTTTTACTTCGATCTCAGCAATTTTAAATCCTTCTCTTGCCACATCGACCCATGTATTTAATCATCCCTTTCTTACTTGATAATTCATTAACTTATGGGGTAGTTTTGCCTTGGCCATATAGATCACATAACGCTGTGCATGTATTTCGTGGATTGGAATGAACCATAATTGTAGGAAATTTTATCACAAATCTTGAACATTTGCGGAACCAAATCCATAACCTAGTCCAGCATTGGTAACAAATTATGCAAATGCGAAGAGATGTGATGACACTGTTGTGTTTCTGAATGTTTTGTATGTAGTAAGGTTTAGATGTGTTTTCAACCTAGCTACATGTGTACATCAAAGTAAAAACTGTGTACACATTTTTTTTAAATACTTGAATTGACATTAGTTTACCTACTTTACCAAAACCATAGACTCCGTAGTTAGTCTATTCCAAAACTTGAACACAGCTCTCATCCTCAACGTACTCACGTATGACACAATTTTCAACCCGATTATCAAAAACTGTTATACCAATAAATGAATCTCAGGTGTTCTTTCTTGAATTTAAAAATAAATGGTGATTGAAAGTAGGAAAAAAAGGCAAGTGCCAACCTTACAATATGTATAAGCTAACCCGATAAGGAATAGTTACATGTTCCTTTGAAATTGATAAGTCACACTTATTTCATAATTTAAAATTTTCTAAGAGCAATAAAGCATAGATTTTTGAACAAAACATTTCAAACGTATCATAAATTCATCATTTTGTTGAAACTATAAAAAACTTGCCATGCAGTGGGGAATCCATTTAAAATCATAAATAATAATGTAAACATTTAATTTTGACAGTTTCAGTAGACCTTTGAATACAATTTTAATATTAACAGCTGGTTCATTAACCCATTGGGGAAGGAATTAATCCGATACCTGCAGCACTCTCTGGCGGCAATTAATTTTACCGAATTTGTAGACTTTTACTCTAACTGCTATAGAAAGAAAACCTTAAGTAATAAATTAATAATTCTTTCACCATTTTGTTCACAGTAAAATTGTCTACAGAAAAGTGTTAATTGGATAGTCAAAGTTCTAAAAAAAAAAAAATATATATATATATAGAGAGATTATAAAAATAAAAATTTTAAAAACAATATTTTGAAAGTAAACTTGATATACAAATTCCAAGATTAATCCAGACACCAAATAACACTACTATTATAAAGGTCAATCGATTCCCTACGTAGAAAAATCAAAAGTTGTGTACTTTTATAAGTAGTAACATTTTTAAAAAATTGTTTGTTTACCTTACCGCAGCTGATTTTTGGTGATATGTGGTTTCCATGGCAACACAAAATTGTTTGTTATTCGTTAAAATTAATGTGTAAATACGCAAATCAAGAAGCAAGATATTTATAAACATTATAATAGTAAGAAGAAACAAAAAGGGCGAAAAATAATAATAACTAAATAAAAAATGGCGCTGCCTAGCGGTGACACGAGTGGCTCTCGTAAGTCGGCCTCCGGGCCTGCAGCGGCCGTACGAGTAACGCTCGTAAGTCGGCGCCAATGGGTTAAAAGTAGTGTAAAATTATCCATATGGTCGAAATGTAAACAAAATTGCAGAGTGAACTTTAAAGGCCTCTGGGGCACAGCCCCAAGGAAATTTACATCGTCTCTCTTTTGAGGGCTCACCTACAGACCAATACCTTTCTTTAGACACCCCTACCAAGTTTCTACGCCCAGCCGTTCTCTCAAATTAGCTGTGACAAAAACCTCGTTTTCCTCCATAAGAATAACATGGGATGGGAATTTAAAGGCCACTGGGGCAGAGCCCCGAGGGAATTCTCCATGTTTCTCTTTTGATGGCTCATTTACAGACCAGGACCTTTCTTTAGACACCTCTACCGAGTTTCTACGCCCAGCCGTTCTCTCAAAATAGCTGTCACAAAGAAAAACAGTTTCAAATTAATATATAGATAATTATATACTAATAAAAATCACAACTATTAAGAGCCTTTGAAAATTATTTGACTATCAAAAGAGGTTGTGTTAGATTTACCAGGACTACTTGACAAACATTGTTAAAAACATCATTAAAATATTCATATTCGGTAAAATGTAACAGGCAGAAGACTAAAAATATGAGAAGAACCATCCAGAATACATCGAGCAGGAGCCTCAAAATACCAATACTGTAATGTCAACCAGATACATGTTAAACTTTTCAAACTCAATAATATGTAAAAGTCCAGGTCAACAAAAAAAAAAAAAAAAACAGCTTTGCTCTTAAAGATCATCAATTTACGCATTAATAATGATCCTAACATTTTATTATAATAACTATATATATATCTTCAAAATGGAGTTCAGGCTATACAGTATATGTTAATTTTAGGCATCAAAGACAATGTAATATGAACGAAATAGCCTATAGCGGATAACATAATACATTTATTTATACAATAAAGGATTGTAGTAGACATATTTACGTTTGAAGTTTAAACCCTTTTAACCCTTTCAGTGGTATGAAACGATATATCGTTTTAAAAAATCTCTAAGGGGTATAGAGAGGAAGGTTATTTTAACAAAAAGTAGCAAAAAGGCCATTGGTGACCTGCATGTTCACAGGATACACTAACAACCACTTAGCTAAAAGATTCGCCCAATCCGATGATTTCGAGGTGTATGAACACCTCACTATGCCCCAGTGGTTGTAGTATATCGCTACAAACACACAGGTCACCAATTATTCGCCACACAGGATGGGAATCGAACCCGAGCAGACGAATGCCACTGGCCAAGTGACACACGACGCCCGAGCCTTCTCGGCTATCTGTGCTTGAAGACTGAGGAGGCAAAAACCGGTATTTAAGGTGACGCCAACGATTGCGAACAGATAGCGCTACAGATGGTTGTTCAATGCGTTACTAGGTAGCAGCACTAGTTAGTCACGGACTATTTAGATGATATTTTTCAGTTGAAACACAACAGTGATCATAAATGTGTTCCTGAGACTTTGCTGCAAAACATTATTTTCCCTACAATGGCTATATTACGATAACCTCGTCCAACTAAATCAAAGTTAAATTCAATATTATATTGTAAAACTATATGTCTTTTGATTTTATGAGATGTTGGTTTCAAACAATGCTATCAGAACATAAAAATGTATAGGAAAACCAGGAAAATTACAACAAAAACTAAGTTTTATTTAATTTTTACTACAAATACCGGGATTTATCTTTGTTATATATTTTCTTATTGACTTATTATTCAAAGTCAGCTTTATTAATAAAATAGTGACAACATTACAGTTACAATTAAACAACAGGTAATGGAATTGAAAGGCAAACAAAAAAGTCTTACGAAATACGAATTATTGGCCTAGCACTGAAAGGATTAAACACATTAAATAAATACCACAACAAAGGTAAATGAAGATATTAAATAAATATCAACAAGAAAATTTTGTAAAAACTAGATGATTGTGATAATCTTCTTCTGCGGTCAAAGCAAACTCCTGAATATCTGTGGTGGCAACAAAAACATTATCATAGTCTTCCGCGATTGCCCCGAAATCCTGAAAATTTCCAACGGTCATGTGACCATTATCAATGTCTCTTTTAGTAATAAAATCATTAAAATCATCTTCCGCAGTCATGGAAGCATCAGTGTCGTCATTCGCAATTGTGGCAAAAGCGGTAATTTTTCAAATGTGCGATCTTCGCAGAGAAGTCAGGTATTGGTATTGTCCTTTGGCAATCAATTCTCGATACCGATACCAATGCCCAAGTATTGGTGGTATCTAGAATTAACTCATACCTAGATTGTTGTAAGTGAACTATTTGTTAAACAGACTACAATAATTGTAGTCTATTGAATTATTCATCATTGAGTAATTTACACAAATTACAATAGATTTTGTCATATTAATCCGAGGCTATAAACTAGGTTCTGTTACTGTAAGTTTAGTTTATAAAATGTGACCACATTTCTAATACTTTGCAATGCTTGTTATAAATTGCTGTGATGGTAATTAATCTGTTTGCAATACTTATTGCAGATGAGCCTCCTGAAGCATGCAGTTCACAAGACTTGGAGTTGGACATTTTAAGCAATGATAATGACGTATGTAAACATTCCTCAATATTTGGAAATTTGGATCAAAGTTTTTTTTTTCCTCGAGATTTATGATGTAGACCTTAAACAATGATTAATTTTATGTAACATATTTTTAGCGAATTTCCGTATAGGGAAGTAGTAGTAGGGAAGTAGGGAATTACCGTAGGTGGACTAATTCTTAAAAAAAAAATTTTTGTAAGACCTAGGCCCGGGACTGATTTACTTTTTCATTTTGATGTCTCCAGAGGACAAAAAGACCATTTGTTCAAATTTATACATATCTAATAACAATATTAATTCAAATGAATTTAAAAGGGTAATAATGTTTTCGATTATTTATATTGTAGTAGCCCTAATCACAATCATACTTATTATATATATATACAGGGTGACAAAAAAGTCTGGAAACGGCTTAATATCTTTTTAACTAAATCCGTTAGAAAATTCAAACCTTTCATATAAACTTGCATGTATGAAAACTATTTTTTGAAAGCATTACCATTTTTTTACCTTCACCAGGGGACGGCCCATGAGGAGTAGGTACATAATCTTTAATGTAAGCATTGGTTTTTTTTGTTTTTTTTTTAACAGAGTTCCAGGCTTACAAGTCACCATGGGATTGCTAGAACAGCTTATTGTTAGGGATGGACGGGTCCCGAAATTTCGGGAATTTTTCGGGAAAAAAATATTCCCGATTATTGGGACGGGATTTGGTCCGATCGGCGGCGATTTTGCCGCTTCGCGAGTGACGATGACGCTGCTATTGCAAGCGATATGTCCGCGAACGCAGGTGACGAAGTTATTTCGACGATTGCGCCGTGACCGCGGAGTCATAACAACGATCACGCCGTGACCGCGGTTATTGGACCGACGATCGCACCGTGACCGCAAGTCATAACTACGATCGCGCTATGACCGCGTGTCATAACACGATTGTGCCGTGACCGCGATTCATGGACCGACAATCGCGATATGACCGCGGAGTTATACCGGCGATCACGCCGTGACCGCGAGTCATACCAACGATCGCGCCGTGACTCGGCTTTTTTTAAACACTAAATTCTTGGGTCTCATGGTAAACAGTGCACTGAACTGGAATGATCATGTAGATGATAGACCTTAGTACAAAATTATTAAGGTCAGCTTTTATTTTAAGAAGATTTAGTAAAGTATGTTCTATTGAAACTTTGAAAACAATCTACTTCGCATTTTTTTATTCCAATTTAACAAACTGTATCGAAATATGGGGATACACTACTAAAACAAACATTAATAAACTTCTAGTCGTTCAACAGAAAGCGTTGAGGTATGGCGGGACTGAGCTTGGGGTAATCTTGTATAAGAAAACTTTAAAAAATCTTCAGATTATTACCGTTCCTTGCATAATAATTTACAGTTTGAATATATTTCAAAACTAATATCTTAAAACAACAAATGAACAATTTCACTCATATGACACTAGAGGTAAAAGTAACATCCATATCAGTAGTCATGACATAAAGCGACAAGCATTGGCAAGTCTTTTTTTTTTGCTCCAAGACGATGGAACCATTTACCAAATCAATTTCAAAATTTTTCTTTTAATTTATTTAAAAAGCAATTGAAAGTTTTATTAAGCTCTGTTTGTTCACAATAGATGAATTTTGGCTAGTGACTAAAAATGAATTTAATTCATATTTATTCTAATTATAGAATGTTAGAATATGTTATTAGGTGAAGAAGTTAAATTACGTTTATGTTTAGGTTTAGCATTAATTGACGAGTTAGAAGATACTAATGTACCACATTATCTATTTTACCAGCAATAAAGTTCTTGCATCTTGTAATTTATTACTATAAAAGGCTGTACCGAACAGAGTTTTTACCGCGTAAAATGCTGTACCGAACCGACGACAATAATTAAGCTAGAACCGTACAGTACCAACTTTTTCGGTGCACCGCAGACCCCTTAGTAGATTTTCTTTTCTTGAGTATTAGGTGTGTTGCTAAATGGTTCAGATTACCTTACTTCGTTGAGTGATCCTTTTTTTTGTTGTACACTACTATATTTTTGTACTTCTGGAGGTGTCCATCATCAGGTGTAACAAAAACAATCAGGATCCGTTAGCACACATAACGCAAATGATAAAAATATGAAAAAACTAATATATTTTTGGAAAACTGGCCAGTTTTATATTAAAGTACAGTATGTACACAACATTTCACGGGAGACATGACTGCATGTCAAAGCCCGGTGGATGACGTAATGCCCCTCTCCTGACCTTCCTTAACCTTGGTTTGTGTTGGGGTTGTCGCTATTGTTGTTAGCTGATAGTCTCATAGCCATATTGTAAATTATGTTGTACCTAAATTAAAATTATGACTGGAACAATAACTTGTCATTTAATAAGAAAATTGAGGATTTTCTTTGTACAATTTGTATATTTTTTACTCTTTAATTGTGTTCATGTCTGTGAATTACCTTCATTGCATAGATGAAGAATTTTTAAATTTTTATTTAAATCTGTATAACAATGGTTCAACTTCAAATTGATTAAATGGTTGGCATAGGCTGATGTGGAATGTTTTTTTCTGTAAATGTTCTTTGAAACGTTTTGAAAAGGATCTTGAGGTTTGGGCCGATGTAGAAGGAGAGACAATCATCACTAGTGATTTTGTAGATACCAGTCTGGTCGGTTTTAGTCTGATCATTGTTGAGGCTTCTTAATAAATTGGGCAGTTTATTGTGTTTACTTAACTTTCCCCCAAGTTTATGTTTCTCAATTACAGGAGAAAGCATTGATTCGTCATACTACTTTTAAAGCTACTGATATGGAACGATTTGGAAGAATGTTGATAAAACAAGTCCAGGAAAAAATAACAAAAGCTGAGAGATTGGTTCAAAAAGAAAGGTATGTATGTTTTGGTTTCTTAATTTTTTTACTATATAGTAGGCTTCAAACAATAACAAAAAATCGGAACAAAAAAAAATTATATTCTTGATTGTGGCAGATTGCGTGAAAATATAATAATAATATCTATGGTTCATACCGTTAACGCATTGAGGGGTAATATTCCACTACGGCCGTTTCGGAGATGACACCATTGTCAGGTGCGTAGTGGTACACTAAACTATAAGTCTTGTCACATTTAACACGAACTTTCTTCATTTGCATTGTGTCAGGGGATAGTTTAGTGTACCACTACACACCTGACAATGGAGTCATCTCCGAAACGGCCGTAGTGGAATATTACCCCTGACTGCGTTGACAGTAAGAACCATAGATATTATTTTTTTTTTTTTATTGTATTTTAGAAAAAAAAGTTTGGCTATCTTGAAAATATCCTTAAATTTTATTCTTAAATTTTCCAATTGTTTTCCGAGTTGAATGTCCAGACTCAAACAAAAACTGTGCACAAACAAACTTTCTTTAATAATTTTTCATTTATTTTGTTAGGTTTTTTTGTACCAAAATATATATTTACGTAATTTCTTGTCACTTTCCAAGTCTTTTTTGTACTTTTAGTGTTCTATATGTGTATAACAAATGTGCTTTGTAAATTTAAAAGAAACCTTTATCTTTCATTTCAACTATTCTCATTACTTAACATGTGTGGCATTTAGTTTAACACAATCTGATGTTTAAGGGAGATGAACTTCGCAACATTTGATTTCAAACTTCAAACATTCTGCAATGAGTTGTACGGAAAAAGTCAAAGCATGGAATCTGTAACTGATAAATTGGAGAAATTGAACATCATGATACAATCAACCTACAAACTTCATAAAGAGATTGCTGCCCAAATCAACTCTGAGTAAGCGAACTTAAATTGACCAAAACATGTTTATACTTACCACTCAATTTATATAATCAAGGTTTCATCAGGAAGAGCAGACTAAATTTGACACAAGATGAACTCTCCTCAATAATTAGGTTCTGGTTAAAAAAAAAATGGGTTGCTCAAGTGATTCAGCTAGAACACTGTGAATAGAGAGAGGCCCAATACCAACCCCTGTGAAACTGAAATCGAAATATCCATAGATTTAAATTTTACACAACCTAATTTGACAATAATTTTGGATCATTTTCTCCCTTCTTAGTCAACACATGTTACACACATCACATGTGCATCAAAACGTGTGTGTGTGTGTGTGTGTCTTAGGTAACACATGTTGTTAGTACAGCATGTGTTTTGTAAAACCATTTTTCTCATGAGTATCTGCTTACATAGTTTTGCTATATTAGGTGTCAAATGTCATAATTTTATTCTGAACATGTTTCAAGCTTGTAACATCTCAGCAGCATTAGAGAACAAATAAGTGAGAGTTGTAATACCTTGGAAAAGTTGCTAAATTTTAAGACCAAAACAGGGTAAAAATATTTAAAATATTATTTTTTCTCTTCCGGTCGCGCATGTGCTCTAAAGTTTTTAGTCTAAAGATTTTCTTCTGACTCCTTGCTTGCCGTCCCCCTGAGGAGGTATTACTTTTTGAAAGATTTTTTTTCCACCCTGTAATATTATATATATAATTAATGGTCAATATTTGTTGGTCTCTTTATGTTGTTCCAGTATTAGTTTGATACCTTTTGCAATTCAGAATAGAAGTTACTTGATTCATTAGTGTTAGTTTTGATCTGTTTCCTTTCCTCCGTTGCCGCCAGCTTTGTGTGTAAACGGTGATATAAACAATAATAATTATGCCAAAAAATGTTTAACCCTTTCCACTCTCATTTTAGGGCTTTGTCCCCATGCCCTAGGTTTAATTAATTATGCAGATCATTAAGCCTTCCAGTACCTATTTAGCGAATTTCCCTATAGGGAAGTGGCTATTACAGTGGGTGGCATGGTAAGACCTAGGCGCAGGACAGATTTTCTTTTTATACTCGAGCTAGCGTTTGCAATGGGGGAGGACACAGTTTGATAAAATTTGCTTCTTTAAATTTACGGTATAGGTACTATAGTATTACACATCTGCCATAGCCATAATGTTCTACCATTTCACCTAAACAATAAAGAAAAATAAATAATTAAAAATTCGCAAAATATAACAAATTATTCATGAAATTAAAAACAAAAACATGACTGTAAACAATCCTACTTTGACAGTTCACATTGCGTATGACAGTTTTTTTTGCTGCTTAGTTCAAATTAGCTGTTTTCATATATGCAAAATAATAATAGTGCTGCACCCTGTTGGTAAATATTATAACTTTTTAATGCTTTTGCATATCATAGAACCAACTTTTTTAGTTGAAACAGCTGATCAAATTCTTTAATTAAATTCCCTTTAAATATGAATACTCATAAGGTTATCATGGGGAACTGCAGAGCCACTGGGGCGGAGCCCGATAGGATATTTGAGATAAGAATATGCCTATATGTTAATCGGGAATAATAGCTATCATCATGCCAAATTTCAGCCCAATCCGTCCAGTAGTTAATGCGTGATTGAACTTCTAACAAACAAACACACAAACTTTCACATTTATAATATTAGTAAGATATACAGGGTTAGTAAAAAGTCTGGAGACCCCTGTTATTTTTTTAACAGCCCATACTAGAAAAACTATACTCGGCACACCTTTCTGGCATGTTATAAAGTACTTTTTGGGCATAACCGCCACTTTTTTTTAACAGAGGGCCAGGCTTACAAGTTACCATGGGATTGCATCGCAGCTAGAACAGCTTATTGTGCACCCTTGTTCACAGGTCCTCATTCTCCGTCAAATCCCAGGTCCTTGGTGAACTGTGAGAGCCTTTTGACTATGGTGACCTGTTCTTCCCTTTGATCTCCCATCAATAGGCCAAGGGATCTCATACACAGACCTTGTAGGGCTGGGCACATAAATATACCTTCACAGCTTTCACAAAGTCTCTGGCTGGGGCAAGCCGTAGCGAGATTTCCCTGAAAGGACTCAGCTTCTGAACTTGCTTGACCAGCCAATCCTTTGTGGCTGCGTCAGCACAGCCTCCACCTTTCTTCCTGGAGGCTTCATTAGAGTCAGCTTTGGGGGTACCACCCTTGCCCTGCTTTTTCCCAGCATCCTAGTTCCCGGAGGAACTGGCTTTGCAGGCAGCAGAGTTAGGGTGCTTGGCAGCCCACACCAGCCTCCTCTCACTTCTGGATAGCACCTTTTCGCCTTTGGCTAATAAAGCATCCGCTATCCTCCGTCTTTGCAACTCACCCCTGGAAAGTCTTTTTTGTACGAGGGATCTCATACGCAGACCTTGTAGGGTTGGGCACATAAATATACTAGTGACGTGTCGAATCCGAATCTCGAATCTCGAATCCATCGAATCTTTAGGAAATATTCAGATTCGAGATTCGGTCAATGAAATTCGACTTTCGAATCCTTCGAACTTCGACCCGAATAAGAATCGGCGTTAGTCAAAACACCCGCCGATGCGACGACGCGACGGGACGACTGTTCAAGGTCAGTTCGAGACACAGTCGTCTGCCCGTGCAATTGCGTAATATTTTGAAACAGCCAACTATTTGTGGTGAACGTAAACATAAGATTTTATATGTCCTTTCAATGTTAAAACTCAAGATAAGATCTAATAATTATAAGAGGTATAAAATTACCTGAGTACTGCCAGAGTGATCCTGTTGGTCCTTACGGATTACGCGTTTCGAGGAGCTTAAGTCCTCATCATCAGATCTTGTACAAGAAACACATCTATCACTTCGAAAAGGTCGTCAAAAGTTTAAATATACAACACGGACACATAATAAATAAACACATTTTACGATTACGGATAGGCCTACCGACAAAAACTTGCAATGTCCGACCGCACAGTTGTAGGTTAAAGTCATGACTGCGATACGGGAGGTGGGCGGGCGGTGGACTTTGTACTTCTCGGCTCTTTGTTCATCAGCTGTTCTTGGTTTGTTATTAAAGTATCATACAGAGCGTTGGACTGGAAACTAATTTTGTCGTTTAGCAATGTGTTAGGTTGGGTTTTGGTAGTTTTATAAATTTCGAACTCTTCTAAAGCGTCCATAACATTACCTTTATTGCAAAAATGTAGAGGGGTTAAATTTGTGTTGAAATCACTGTAGTTATGGTTTTCATTTACAAGATGAGCTGCAAAATTGGATTTCAGATGATTACTTGCTTTAGGCAAATGTTCTTTAAATCTAGTTTGAAATGTCCTGCCTGTTTGCCCAATGTAGATTTTGTTGCAATCGTCGCATGATAACTTGTAGATACCAGTTCTGTCGGCTGTATTATTTACTCCATTTTTATCAGCACTGCTGAGTAGTTTTTGTAGTTTATTTGAAGTTTTAAAAGCGATATTGATGTTCTTTTTTCTTAATTCGTTTGCTAGAATGTTTGGTAACTTATTACCAAATTCTGAAGTTACAAAAACTTTCCTTTCTTTGGGTTTATCTTCATTCTTATTGTTCTTTTTCTTTAATTGTTTTTTAATTATCTTATCTATTATAACGGGATCGTAACCATTTTTATGCGCAATGTATTTAATAGTGGTTTTCTCTTTATCAAAGTTTTCAGAGCTAAGTGGTATTGATAGGAGCCGATGAACGAAACTGGTATATGCAGCCATTTTATGCTTAACGGGATGATGTGATGTTTCATGGATTGTAGTATCTGTTAAGGTTGGCTTCCTGTAAATATCGAACGTGAAAAGTTTGTCACCTCGTATGACAGTTAAATCCAGGAAATTGAGTTTATTGTCCGTTTCTAGTTCTATTGTAAACTGAAGTTTAGGGTGAATGTTATTAATGTATTTATTAAACAGCTGGAGTTGTCTTGTATTGCCGTCAAAAAGTATTGCTATGTCATCAACGTATCGGTGAAAAAAACTTAAACTTAAACTTAAACTTTTCACGACCTTTTCGAAGTGATAGATGTGTTTCTTGTACAAGATCTGATGATGAGGACTTAAGCTCCTCAAAACGCGTAATCCGTAAGGACCAACAGGATCACTCTGGCAGTACTCAGGTAATTTTATACCTCTTATAGTTTGTTCTGTGATCCAGAGACAAAAACAACTCAAAATATGAAGTTGAACGCTTGCCAAGCAAAAATTGTCTACAAGTACAAGAACACCAAAATAAAACTTTTTAAGACCATTCAGAATATTAAATTCAACAAGGATTGTACTACGAATAACGTAACCCCTAACTACATTCATGTTAAAATTAAAAAACAGATCATTTGCAGCACAAAAGGCTAGAAAAGTAGCAGAACAAATTTGGCTTAGAACTGAACTCAAACAATTGTATAGAAAAAAGGACATGCTAAACAAACTCTTATTTAAAACACATATGGAAGTTCTAAACAACATTCATCAGTGTCAGGTTGATGATATTTTACAGAAAGTTGATTCCCAAATAAATAGGACAATCCTGGCAAAAAAGAAAACCTTGAGTAAGAAATTAGATAACTTGATAAACAAAACTCACTTAGTCGATGTTGAACAATCCACACATAAATTCTATCAAAGAACTGTAAACTTATCAAATGTTATTTTTGAGCAGGAAGAACTCAAACTTCTTGACAAAGGCCTTAAATACAATTTACCTTACAATGGTAAAAATAGTTTACTATCAGAGATCATTCATACTGAATCAGCTATCAAGATGATACATGATAATAATACTCAGAACACCGTTAGAATCCTAGTGAATGAGAAATAAAATAAAATAATTAGACTGAACAAAGCTTCCAAAAATTAGAAGCTAACTATTATGCATAAACATGAACTGAGAATTTTAAAATCCATACAAAACAAAATAAAAGAAAATAATTTGATTGTTACTAAGGCTGACAAAGGCAATTCTCTTG